GGGAGGTCAGCCTGCCCTTTGACCCTTGGAAGCCTTAATCTCTTTCAGCATGAAAGTCCGAGGTGGCCCTTTCCTCCAGTAGAAGTCCGTTTTGTCAGGGCTGGTATCTGGTGTTTAGCGTCCTACCTGCATCTGTGACCTTCGCCAGATTTTTCAGACAACTGCTGTCACTTCCACACCGGCACTTCTCCTTCACTCTGCACTTTCATTTTGTTTATTTATTTATTGACGAGATCCTGCCCTGTCACCCAGGCTGGAAGGCAGAGGCATCATCATGGCTCACAACAGCTTCAAACTCCTGGGCCACTATGCCCAGCTAATTATTTGAATTATTTTTATTTTTATTTTATTTTATTTTAGAGACAGAGTCTTACTTTGTCGCCTTCGGTAGAGTGCAGTGGCGTCACAGCTCACAGCAAGCTCCAGCTCTTGGGCTTAGGCAATTCTCTTGCCTCAGCCTCCTGGGTAGCTGGGACTACAAATGCCCGCCACAATGCCTGGTTATTTTTTATTTTTATTTTTTTGCAGTTTGGCCGGGGTTGGATTTGAACCCACCACCCTTGCTATATGGGGTTGGTGCCCTACTTACTGAGCCACAGGCACCCACCCCTTTTTGAATTTTCTTAGAGATAAGAGTTTCATCATGTTGCCCAGGCTGGTCTTCAACTCCTAGGCTCCAGAGATCCTCCCTCCTCGGCCTCCCAGAACGCTGGGACTACAGGTGCGAGCCACCACGCCCACCTGCATTTTTATGTCAAAGAGATGGCTTCATTCCCTAAACCTCATGAACCAACTTTTGCTGGTTTTGTCTCTTTCTTCTGCAGTTTCTTTGCCCCTCTCAGACTTCACAGAACCACAGAGAATTGGGCTCTTGCTCGGGATCAGGCTTCGGTTTATGAGGCTGCTGTGGCTGGTCCGGTCCTCTCTCCAACCCACTCAGACTTCCCCACAACACCAATTTGCTTTCTTAGTGTTCGTGTGTTTGTTGAGCAACATGTTTATTTTTTGAGACAGAGTGCCACTATGTTGCCCTGAGTAGAGTGTGGTGGCATCACAGCTCACAGCAACCTCACACTCTTGGGCTTAAGCGATTCTCTTGCCTCAGCCTCCCAAGTAGCTGGGACTACTGGCGCTTGTCACACGCCTGGTTATTTTTCTGTTGCAGTTGTCATTGTTGCTTAGCTGGCTGGGTTTGACCCCCCCAACCTCGGTGTATGTGGCCAGCACCATAACCACTGTGCTACAGGTGCCAAGCCCTGAGCAGCATTTTTAATTTCCCTCAAGAACTTCTCACAACCTTGCTAACTGTTTGGCACAAGAGATCTGGATTTTGGCTTGTCTTGGCTTTCGACATCCTTTCCTTGATAAGCTTAATCATTTCTAGTTTTTGACTTAAAATGAGAGAAATGTGACTGTTCTTTTCACCTGAACACTTGGAGCCCCCTGTAGGGTCATTAACTGGCCTAGTTTCAATGTTGTTAAAACTAGAGAATCTCAGGGAATAGGAATAGGGAGGCTCCAGGAGAGGGAGAGCGCCGGGGCCGGCCAGCTGGCGGAGCGGTGAGAGCACACACACGTATCCCCTAAGTGTGCCCCCTTATGTGGGCCAGGCTCGTGGTGCTCCAAACCACTGCCACAGTAGCAGCAGAGATCACTGATCACAGATCACCGTGACAGATAGAATAATGATGGAAATTTTGAAACATGGTGAAAATTACCAAAATCTGATGCAGAGACACAGGTGAGCACAGCTGTTGGAAGAACAGGGCTGACAGACACGCTTAGTGCAGATCACTACAAAAACGCAGTGTCTGTGAGGTGCAAAGAGGAGGCGTGCCCGCATCTGCCTGGGAGAGCCGGAGACACACCCTCCTGACAGCCCACACAGAATGGCCACCAAGATGTCCATCAGTCGGCGGGCGGATAGATACACTGGGTGTGTCTGCAGAAAGGAATGCCATTCAGCCACCGAAAGGAACAAACTACCTCCCTGTACTGCGGGTGGACCCTCCAAACCATCACCCGAGTGAAAGCAGCCTGGCGCAGAAGCTGCAGGCTGCAGAGGGGCTCCACTTACAGGATGTTCTAGAAATGGCAAAACTGCAGGGCCAGAGAGCAGATCAGTGGCCACCAGGGCTGGAGGTGGGGAGAGAGTGGCCTTGGGGCTGAAGGAAATGTCTGGCGTTCATTTGCTGGAACTCACTGAACTGAGTGCTGAAAAAAGGATACATCCTGAACATCATCATTTTTTGCATAAATTATCCTCAATAATCCCAACTTTGAATAAATAAGTTACTCATTTTCTTTTTTTGGAAGGTGCAATCTTATAAATGTCTAAATTTGACAATAAGTAAGATGACTAATTTTAGAAGACGCAGTTACCAACTGCATGACAGAACTCTTGAGGCCGAGCAGGACGGGCGTGACAGAGCAGTGGCAGCCGGTGTTCTGACATGTTGATGAGCTTTGCTGTCACAAAAGGAGAAAGGCGGAGGTGTTGCTAAATCCCTCTCTTTGTTTTTGAATTTTCCGTAATGTGATCACTTATCCTTGATAAGAATTATTTTTCAAAAATCACACTTTAGGCTATGTCTACTTATAATCCCAGCACTCTGGGAGGCCGAGGCAGGTGGATTGCTTGAGCGCAGGAGTTCAAGACCCCATCTCTACAAAAAAAAAAAAAAACAAACCCAGAAAAATCAACCAGGCGTGGTGAAGTAGTCCTAGTTACTTGGGAGGCTAAGGCAGGAGGATTGCTTTAGCCCAGGAGTTTGGGGCTTCAGTGAGCTATGATGATGCCATGGCACTCTGGCTGAGGTTACAGAGCAAGCCTCTGTCTCAAAAATAAAATCACCTCTAAAAACTTTCTCAATTACTATAATCCCAGCGTTTTGGGAAGCTGAGGCAGGAGGATCACTTGAACCTAGGAGTTTGAAACTGCAGTGAGCATTTTTGCTCCATTGTACTCCAGTCTGGGTGAGAGTGAGACCTCATCTCTTTAAAGAAAAAAATACCCAGATTAGTGGATACTGATGGGAGCTCAGATGCATCTTGATTTACGATGGGGCCACAGCCTGATAAGCCCATCAGAAGTTATCGTAAGCAAAAAATGCACCTCCCAGCACCCTATGTCCCACACCTAACCTACCCAGCACCCTAGTTCAGCCTCACTGGCCTTGAATGTGCTCAGAGCACTTGCATTAACCTACAGTTGGACAAAATCATCTAATATGAAGCCTATTTTAATCAAATGTTAAATGTCTCATGTAATTCATTGAATGTGTCCTGAGTACGGTCTCTACTGGATGCATATCACTTTCATACCATCGTGAAGTCAAAAAATCCCAAACTGAACCATCATGAGGTGGGACTGTCTGTAATGGAACAGACACGGTCCACACGCTGGGGCCTGGCACCTCTGAAGATAAAGGGACACTGGAGGTGTCTGGTGGTCTGTGATCTGGGTCTTACCCCTTCCAGAGCCCCAGCTGGCTGTGGTGCCCACAGAGGGCCTATGGTCAGGGCGCTGGGCAGTGAGGCTGATCCTGGCAGGTAACAGGACAGGGAATGGTGGTCGGGTGGGGGTGTTTGCGGCTCTACCCACAGAAGAGTGAAAATTCAAGTGAAAATACAGTACAGGCTTTGTTCTCTGACAGTGAAAATGACCTGTTCCCTCTGAATGTGTGATTCTAAGGTGCTTATGGTTGTTGAAATCTTGCTCATTCACTTATCTTTGGGACCCCCTTTTGATGTGACTTTGTTGATAACTTTATGCAGATTCCATGGGTGGCTGGGGGCTTTGAAGTTCTGGTCTCACACTCTGGCCCCCTAGGGTGTCCGGATCAACAGGAGACTTGCCCATAGCTGGGGTCATTCCCCGGGAGGGAAGGGGATGCAGATACAGTGAGCCAGGGCAATGCCCCCATCCAGCCCACCTGTGCTGGGTCTTCTGTCTACACTGGGGCACAGCTCCACAACCGTAACGTTCAGCTGCCCAGCCTGGGCTTTGTGAGGATGGACCTCACGCCCTCCTGAGGACTGGTGTCCAGTTGCAGGTGGAGCCATGTGCTCCTGTGCTTGTCAGGTGTTGGTGGCGTGTGGATTTTGCTAAGATAGCCGTTCAGCACATTGAAAAACAAGACATCTCTTTTTCCATAAGTCAGATTGGTACAATCATGCTGAGGTGACAGGGTACTTTGAAACTGGTGTGGGTGTGGCTGTCACAGTCCTGTTTAGCGATACTCGCCAGACCCAGACATTCCAGGCTTGATGGGTAACATAAGATTCTACAGCATCATATAAAACATAACAATCCTGGACTCGACTATGCTCCACAGCACTGCAGTAAAGAATGAACAGCCTCAGTGCCCAGGCAGGAAGCTTCCCTCCAGAAGCATCTCAAAGGAAAGCCGCAGCAGAACGGAAAGGGCAGAGTTCCTGTTTGATTTGGGAAGCACTCCTGCTGTGTGCAGGCTCTGAGTTGGGCACCAGAGGACCAGGATGTGCAGGAAAAGTTAAAGCTCAGCATAGGTGGCTGTACCCCCCGGGAGAGCCATTGTTCTCAGGGTCCTCCTGGGGCGGTTTGGGGAATTAAGGTAGCACCCACCTCCAAGGACAGAGTGGACTGCAGGAGGGGGCCTCCCCACCCCTTTCATTTGGAGATGGAGACAGAGGGTTCTGTTGGACTCAGCTCTCAGGCCGAGCAATTGGTGTGGGGTTTCCCAGGCAGGTGGTGAAACTACAATTCAAAGGAAGGCCTTTATCTCCCGAAGGTTTCTCTTTCCTTCTCTCTCACTGTGTCACCTTAATCCTGCCAGGAAATCTGAGCATAAAAGCTTTACCACTCCCAGGGCCATGAGTTTGAAAGGATTTTAGGAAAACACTGAAATCCTGTCAAACAACAGGGAAGCCGGAGTGCAGGGCTGCAAGTGCGCCCTCTGTCCCGGCCAGTCGGGCAGGCCTGGACAGGGCGACCTGAAGGGCCCGTGGTGCCTGTGTACCTGAGCGCATCCAGGATGGCCGTGTGCGCCTCGTTGCGGCTCTTCATGCCCAGCAGGCTGGTGGCCCACTGCTGCAGGATGTGCTTCTTCTCCACTCCGATGGTGTCTATCTCCGTGCAAGCCTGCAGCCGGGAGCAGATGGGACATGAGCACCTGCCTCGTAGCACCGCCATCGAAGCCCCCAAAGAACGCCAGAGCCTAGCCTTCCTAACTTGTCCTTATTTTCCTGTTCTTTTTGGTCATTCGTTAGCAAAAGGCTAAGCATGAAACTAAACACAGCTTTAAAGAAACCTCGGATGTCTGTCTGGGCCTCTGCTCAGGGCCTGCAGTCCTCTGAGCTCGGGAACAAGGATGGGGAGGGGGAGGGGGGGAAGGCGGCCAGCACGGATGAACCCCTGCCACTGGCCAGGCACCCACAGCAGGTCAGTGGATGTCATCCATTTGTGACCAAACCGTTCTTTTTAAAGGCTGAATACTATTCCACTGTGTGTGTCTCCCACCCATCCATCCATCAGGGGACATAGGGGGCAGGGAGAACATGGGGGCAGGGGGCTGACTCGGCATGGTGGCCATCTGAGTGGAGCTGCTGTGAATGTGGGTACAGGAATCTCTCCTATATGCCTATTTCCTTTCCTTTGGATAAGTGCCCGGTTGTGGGACTTCTGGATGACTTCTGTATTTGGGCAAGTCAGTGACTAAGGAGGCCACTCTGCCATTGAGCAATGTCAGTACCGCCCCATTGGGCAGCAAGTGGGGCCCAATCCCAACCCAGCTGCTTCCCAAGCCGGGCCTGCATACAGCCAGTCGGTGGAGGCTGGCACCTGCCCACACTGGAAAGGCCTGGTCAACCAAGGCACAGCCAAGATACACATATCACTACTGAATTTAGTCCCTCATTCTTTAAAAAGGAAATCTGCCCATCCTACCCTCCAAATGGGCCAATAAGCAAAAGGAAAATAAAAACGCCCACAACCCTGCCACTCAGAGATGAGCATTTCTGACCTTCCACACCCACTATCTTCACGCCTGTGTGTAGGGAATCATATTCCACGTGTTGTTTAGAAAGGCCCTACTAAAGATTAATATGCCGTGAACAGGATTCCCTGTCAGTAAAATCTTCAGTTTCTTGCAGCACAGTGCTCTCTGCACAGGTGTATAAAATTCCTTTCTCCAAGGCCCTCATCCTGGGATCTTCCTTTCCTGCCCCACACGCCATAGTGGTGAGCACCAGTTCCTGCTGAGTCCCTACTCATTCTGCTTAATAGGCTTTGAACGTAGGAAAATGTTACTTGCATGCATCTGTGGTAGTTTCCTTGGAATAAAGTCCAGGTAGCGACATGTAGGGGGCAGGAGGAGGGAGTTCACTGAGTGTCATAATGCTGCCTTGTAATAACCTCAACACAGACCGAGCCAGTTTTGCCGGGCAGCGTGGGGCTGTCTCCCCTCCTCTCTGCCCACCTGCTGCTCCCTGCCTGTGGTTTGCTTTCCTGTCACTTCATTCCAGGAGGGTCAGCGCTGTTTCCAGTGCTGGGAATGAAGAATGATTGAGTCGGGGAGGCCCTGCCTGGTGGAGGCACCCAAGGAGAGGGGTGTTTCAATACCTCTTCACACCTCAGATTTACTAATGGTGCTAAGTCTGTCTCCCCTGCTGTGTCTCCCCTGAGTTTTCTTTGCGGTGCTCTTAACCTACAGAAGTCTTGCCGCTGGTGTGGTCTGCACCCCCCTCATCTTTCGCCAGGTTTCTGCTTAGAATAGCCCCTCCGACCCAGGATTATATAAATATTTTCATTTGTTTCCTTCTGCTACATTTCCTCCCATTTAATTACTTGATTCCATCTGGAATTTATTTTAGTGTCTGGTATGAGGAAAACATTTAATTTAATTCTTTCCCCCAAATGATTAGCCAAATGTCTGGACACCACTGGATGCATAATTCCTTAGTTCTTGGCTAATTTATAATCTACTAGGTGTTTACATAAACCTTGGCTTGTGTCTCGGTTCTCTTGCAGTCCTGGCCTTGTCACCTTAGAGCTTTATGGTACATTTTAGTGCTTGGTGGGGGCGACACACCATCCTGTTTGGCCAGGACTTCCTCGGTTTACCACAGAAAGTTTGATATCCTGGGAAAGCCCTCAGTCCGAGATGGGGATGGATGGTCGCCCCATGAGAACATTCCCTGCTGAAGCATTTCTTGGCTAGCTCTCCTAATTTATTTTCAGATGACCTCAAGAACCACTTTGTGAAGTAAGAAATTGCTTCCTTCCCTGGAATTCTGATTGACTCCTGTGGTAATCACGGCCACAGGTGCAGAGGATGGGCATCTGGACAACATTAGGCCCTGTCCCCTCCTTTCACCTGGGACCCAGGGGTGTCTGTCCATCCGTTCCAGGCCTTTCTCTTTCTTTCTTTTTTTTTTTTTTGAGACAGACCCTCAAGCTGTCACCCTGGGTAGAGTGCTGTGACATCACGGCTCATAGCAACCAACTCCTGGGCTCAAGGAGTCTCCTGCCTCTGCCTCCCAAGTAGCTGGGACCACAGGCGCCTGCCACAATGCCCGGCTATTTTTTGGTTGCAGCTGTCATTGTCGTTTGGCAGGCCTGGGCTGGATTTGAACCTGCCAGCTCAGGTATACGTGGCTGGCGCCTTAGCCCGTTGAGCCACAGGCACCAAGCCGCCTTTCTCTTTCAGTAAAAGGTTTTTGTCTCCTTCCTGTGTCTCACAGATTAAAAAAAAAGTCATGGTAACTTTGGCTTCTGGTGTCAGCCACTGCAGAGCTCAATCCGGTGCCTGGAGGGAGCAACTTGCACACATCAGGTCACCTCCATTCACTCCCCAAGGAGCAGGGACGTGGCCCCGCCCAAGAACCCCAGCTGCCCATGGGGCTGAGAATCCTCAGGAAGACTTCAGTGAGCCCGGAAGAGGCCCCTGCAAGCTAAGGACTTGATAAGGGTCCCCACAAGAAAGTGGGCACTGGGGGTGCAAGAAAAGACTAGAACAGGCATCCTCAAACTACAGCCCGCGGGCCACATGCAGCCCGCCTAGGACATTTATCCAGCTCGCTGGGTGTTTTTGCCGCCGTTGCCTGTCCTGCTTAGCAGCCAACTTGTCCCGGGGCCCGCAGTCCGGCCCTCCAATGGTCTGAGGGACAGTGAAGTGGCCCCCTGTTTAAAAAGTTTGAGGACCCCTGGACTAGAACAACTGAATTTCCGCCAGACACTACAGTCGCCCACTGGCTGGGACAAAGGGATGAAAATGTCCGCCATCGATCCGTCGGCATCTGCTGTGCTTGCCACGGGGAAGGTGGGTGTTCTTTTCTTAAATTATTATTTCAAAAAATCTTATTTCAAAATATGAAGGGGGTACAAATGGTTTTGATACGTGGCTTGAGTTCAGGCTGTAAAAACGCCCGTCCCCTGCAGAGTGTTCATTGTATCCGTTAGGGGGGCTGTTGACTTCCCCTCTCCCCCCCAGATGTTTTTTGATGCTTACGGAGACCTGCAGACGTGCAAGGCCTGGCTTTTAACCTCAAGGAGCTTGCTACCTAGCCGGGGACACGGTCGCAGCTGTCCATTCAACAGACGCGTGGTGGGCGCCACCCAGGCAAGTCACTAACACCACGTGGGGTGGCGGGTGGTGCTGGGGCCAGTGAGAGCCTCAGGGACTGCTCTTACCTCGCTCACTGCTTTCCTTATAGTGCGGGTGTCCTCAGCTTGGGCCACGTGCTGCGCCTCAAACAGGGCGATGTTGTCTTCCAGCTGTTTGGCTTGGGTGGTGAGCTGGTCCACAAACAGGTCCTGGGAGACAGGCAGGACACGTCTGTGCCTGAAGGGCGAATCCCCACAGACTCGACCCAGGGCTGTGCCGCCGCCCACATGGCCGCCCCCTCTCCAGGTGTCCAGCAAAGCTGCAAGACTGGGCACCTGCGTGCAGGTCAAAGGTGCAGTGAGCATTAACTGGAGCTGCGTCTGCAGATACCTGCCGTTTCTTCTCCACTTCGGCCCGCGCCCTCTCCACCTCAGCCTTGTTCACCACTTGCTTCATCACGCAGATGTCATCTCGCACGTCCTGGTCGATGTTTTGCATGTAGAAGAGGTTCAGAGCCAAGTTTTCCATCTCCGTCTGCAGAGCTGCCACTGTGGGGGGAAGCGGGAGGCTGGTCCAGCAGCGCCTCACTGTGACCCAGCTTGGGGCCAGACTGCTTTGAGTCTACAAAGACCCAGACTTTGCATCAAAGAGTTTCCAGTCCCACCGAAGGGACAAAGATACGGTAGAACCTCTATAAGGTGACCACCTGAGGGACCATCACAAACTGGGCAACACGTGGAGGTGGCCACCATAAGGAATTAGGCCTAGCTGTGCTGATATGTACGTGTGGTACGTGTCCAGTCTGTGAGAATGAGGTCAACTTAAGGAGGTGGTCAGTGCGGGGGTGGGCAGCTATGGAGAGTCTCCCATATCTATGTCCACAGATGCCCAGCAGGTACCAGAGCTCTCCCCACCAGTACAGGACACACAGGGACAGTGTCGGATGGTGAGGCCTCATGTGTATTGTACAGATTTCTTACCACTGAAAGGTCAGTGAGCCAGGCAGAGTCCCACGCCCCTAGGAGGAATCCAGAGCATGGAAAGCAGACGTGCTCCACTGATGCCCCCCGTGCCAGGCCCGTGCAGCAGCACCAGCTGGAAAGGGCCAGGGCTGTCCCCCCCCGGCCCGGAGTCCAGGCGTACCACCTCCCATCCTGCTCAGAATCAGATAACAGCTTTATGTTGGCACCTTTAGAAGAGACCACACCCTGGGGAATTGATTCCTTCAGCAGCACTCACGTGAGACTGATTTACAGGGCAGAATGGCAATTGGTTTAGGGAGCTACACCTCCATCAGTGACGGCTCGCTGGTTCCTCCTCCAGTGAACCCGTCCAAATGGAAAATTGAATTATAGGTCGAAGGGCTGCTGGGTGAACATCAGAGTGGAGCCCAGTGTTCTCAATGAATGTAGCTTAAAAGACAATTTTTTAAAATACAAGATGATTCTAACACTTCTAACTCTAGCTCCCATATGGGTAAGAATTATGGGGTGGCACAAGCAGGGGCAGCAGAGAAGCCAGGTGAGGGGTTTTGCAGGAAGACAGACCGCGTGGCACTGGAGAGGAGGGACGCCCCTCTGTAAACAATGCGACCTTTGTCCCTGCAGCACCTGTAAGAGTGTCTCTTTATCACTGGTGTTGACCAATTTGATTCTGATGTGCTTGGTGTCCACCTGGTGGCTTGGGGTTTATGGAGCTTCTTAGATCTGTGGGTTTATAGTTTTCACAAAATTTGGAATTTTTTTTTGCCCAGGCTGGAGTGCAGTTGCCTGATCATAGATCACAGCAGCCTCAGCCTCCTGGCTCGGGCCATCACGCCCAGCTAATTTTGTTTTTTAAACTTTCTGTAAAGACACAGGGTGTTGCTATGCTGCCCAGCCTGGTCTGGAACTCCTGGCCTCAAGTGATCCTCCCAACTTGGCCTCCCAAAGTGCTGGATTACAGGTGTGAACCACTGCTCTTGCTCCAAATTTGGGAATTTTCATCCATGATTTCTTTAAATATTTTTCTGCCCTCTTCCTTCTTCCCTTCTTGTCCCCTAATACACATATATATGAGGCCGCTTGAGGCGGCCCTCAGATCACTGGCTTTCTGATTTTTCTCACCTTCTTCACTCTGTTCCTCTCTGCGGTTCACTTTGGGTAGTTCCTATTGCAGTGACTTCTAGCCGCTGCCCCCAACACACATTTTCCCGAATTTTAACTGCTATTTTCCTGAGTTAATTCCGTCAAGTGAGAATGTTGTACCAAAGTGTGTGTGCACACTTCATTTGGAAGAAGGCACTGCCCAGCTGCCCTCTGAGGAGACTGTTCCAATTCTTCCTTTGTTATGAGCCAAGGGTGCCCCCCAAATCCATCTGTTGAAGCCCCTACCCTCAGCACCTCAGATTGTGCCTGTATGTGGGGACAGGGTCCTTAAAGAGGTGATGAAGGCAATTGAATGAGGTCACTAGGGTGGACCCTGATCCCACAGGACTGCTGTCTTTATAAGGAGAGGAGATGGGGACACAGACATGCACAGAGGGGTGACCACACGAGGACACAGGACACAGATGCTGGTCTGCCAGCCAGGAAGAGAGGCCTGGGGGGGCAGCCTGCCCCCACCTGCACTTCGGACTCCCAGTCTCCGGAGCTGCGAGTCCCCCTCTGCGGAGCGTCCTCGGGCAGCCCAGTGGACTCATCGCTGGGCTGGACACCTGAGCGTTGAGAGTGCCTTTCCAGGCTCCCTTCAGAGCACGAGTTCAACCCCTCTCCTCTTCGCAGGCTGGGTAACTAAAAGCCAGCCTTTCAACTATTTCAGCTTTCCTTTCAGTGAAGGTGAACCTACTCGCACTTTACTTGCCGGATGTCTTTTTCCCTCTCTGAATTGCCTGTGTCCTGGCCATTCTTCTGCTGGGATGTACAATAAAACATGGCGGGCAGAGTCTTCCAGTGGCTCCCCTGACCTTTGCCCCTGGAGTTACTCCCATGATTCTGTGACGTCAGATGGCAAGGAGGTGATCACCAGTGGGTCTGGCATAGTGGGGAGCCTTTTCTCCAGCTGGAGGCAAATAGGACATCACAAACATTTGAAGGGTGAAGGGTGAGAGGGATTGAACAGGGAGAAATTCTCCACTGGTGGTTGGAGGGTGAAAGAAGGGGTCTCCGCTGCAGGGAGCGGGGGTGATTCCCAGGCACTGAAAGAGGCTTCTGCTGGTGGCCAGCAGGAGGGTGGGCCTCAGCCCTACAGGGACAAGCAACCTGATTCTTCCAAAACCTGAGTGAGCTTGAACGGGGATTGCCCCAGAACTTGCCGGCGAGAACTCAGTCAGTCCACACCTGATGTCGATATGCCACCCCAGATTCTGACCGGCAGAGCCGTGAGCTAATGTTTAACTGTCAGCTGTTTAAGCCCCTAAGTTTGTGGCAGTTTGCTATGAAACAATGGAAATCTACTACAAAAGATAAGGGTGTTGTCAAGGATATATCAGACTTTCCCCAATTTGTATTTGTCTTTTAACTTCATTGTGCTTTTTTTTTTTTTTTTTTTTT